GAGCGAAGTCTCTTCCAGTCGTCGCCTTTCGCTTCAATCAAATGGTGTTTCAGAATCGGATGGATTCGTCGCTTACGAGTCCTGTCAGCGAATGAATTGAAATCCTTCACCAAAACATTTTTTATCAATTCTGGTTCGCCTACTGTTAGGGCAGGATTGGTACCATTGTATATTCTGCTCACAAACCAAATATATTCAATCATTATTACATAAATTATATTAAAGTTATAATTTTAAATCATGGAAATAATAATTACCCGTATAATTTGCCAAATTTCTTATACCACTCAACTTCCAAAAGTGGTTTTGGTGTCAAAAACTGGTGAATCAATGTGCCAATACCTATGTATGGGTTGGGACCATTTATTCCAAGACTTTTCCAATAATTAAAATTCCGTGTCAAATACCTGGTATAAAATTTTATTATTACTATTAATTTATAAAATAATATTTTGTGATAAAAAATAATTGTCTTAAAACTTACCAATAGATGAGTGGAACCGAAGATATAATTCCATAGAAGAACCAAGAATTCCAAAAACTTGTGTCCATTTTATATAATTTCTGCAAATGATATTTCCACTAAAACTTGACTTGATACTTAAAATCAAACACAAACTAAACGGGTTATTTATATGAATATTGTAAATCACTACAATCACAAATCAATGCATAAACTTACAAAACAACTACTTTATTTAGATGATAATTATTATCATCAAAAGTAGTACTTTTAGTATTTCTATACTCCAGTTCCTCCCTATGTACTCAACTTAAACAATTATATGTTTATTTTATTCAAACCCTAAAACATTTTTTTCAAAATTTATGGTGATCAAATATAAAATAAAAAATATTTATAAAAAATAAAATAATCACAATAAAACATCGGTGACTTATAATATGAATATACAAAACTAACGAATCTATACCTGTATGCATGAAAATATGATAACAATTCATAATACGTATTCACATTGAATTCATATGATATGAATGCATGTTTACATGAGTGCTAAATGTACGCAATGTCTAACTGTATTTTTATGAGAAGGTTATCGCATAAAGTTATGCCATAAACCTATTATACAGTAAGTGTACACTAAAAGTACTCTTTGTTGATATCATTTTCACGTAATACTCTATACTGTATACAGTAGTAGACTTTATTTTTATATTTTGTATAGATTTTACATAACATAACTACATTTTGTCAAATGTCAAAACCATATTTTGTATAATGTTTTAAAATGTGTATACAGGTATTAAGAATTTTAAACTTATTGTCTAGCTAATTTGATATATTGTGTATTATAAATTTTTAAAAAATTCATTAATTAAATTCTCAAAAATTGATATAATTATGAATTTAAAGAACTTAGAGGACATTTGTATATCATAGTCTCACTTTAATTTTTTAATACTCGTAAAATTAGCGTTATTTTATTGCAAATAATACAGTACATTAGTTAAATTCATTAAAAGGTTTTATTTTTAACATATTATATAATAGGTTGAGCTAGGATATCTACAAATAGAGAATATACAGCGTCCACACAGGAAAATAAACAGTTAGTTGAGTGCACGGCGTCTCAAAATAACAATAAATCAATTGAAATGAAATGAAATTTGTATTTGTTCAGGTTCATTTATGTCATGCGAGTTAATAGATATGTCGCATTGAAATGTTAGTAATAGTTATCTCTTGTCAATGCCAACGATGACCCGTTTAGGTGTGTGAAGGAATAAATTGCGAATCAATGAGACGGGTATATCAGTGTTGGCACACTTCAAGAATCGGTATCTCCTGATCACATGGGCCAACCCTAACTTGGCTTCCATTAACCCAAACCTCATTCCCACACAATTTCGGGGTCCGCCACCAAATGGCAGATAAGTATAGGGAACTAATTTGGGTTTGTTTTCCGGTAGAAACCTTTCGGGAATAAATGACTCCGGGTTTGGATAAAACTCCTCCAAATGTGCGATTGCATAGGTAGGGATAGAAACTGCCTGTCCCTTTTTAATAGTGATACCGGTGTCACCTAATTTGTAATCCTGTGAAGCAATTCTGGCCACTCTTATGGATAGCGCGTGTAGTCTAAGAGTCTCCGACACGACTGCATCCAAATACGACAGTTTCGATAGTAAGTCGTAATCAATCTCTCCGTTAGTGTCCACTGAAGACATCACTTCTTCGTAAAGTTTTTGCTGAACATCTGGATTGAGAGCCAATTCATACGTTGCGAACGACAGAGTAGTGGCAGTCGTGTCATAACCGGCAACGAAGAAAATCCAAGCGTTGGCCAGAATCTCATCGTCAGTGATGTAGTGCTCCACTCCTGACATCACTTTCTTCTGGATCTCTAATTCTTCTTTGCCTTTAAACATAAGATTTCGGTATATTTTCTGTATTCATAAAGATTTGAAAAATAATTTTAATAACCGATGCATACCTTCATTCACATGATGTGATTCATTGCTATCAAACTCATCGCTTACTTCATTTGGTTTATCTTTTTCTGCGTTTAATAATAAATCAATGAAATCATTGTATTTCTGATTACTATTTTTCCTTTCATTGATGATAAGACGGGTCAGTTTAAAGAAGAATTCACAGCAAGTCTCTTCAATCGCGTGCTTCATATTTATTAATTTCATCACAAATTTAGGTAACATTATAGACAACACAAGTCTATATGACTTTGGATTCAAGGATTTGTGAGCATTCTTAATGAACGGACTGTTGGGGTCTTTATATGAGTTAGTTTTGGTGGCGAAAGCACAGGTAGATATGACATCCATTGTTAGGTTTCCATACATTAATTTCATGTCCACCTCCTTCTTATCGTTGGCATTCATTTCCAATGTATTCAACAACTCATCCAAACACTGCTTAATCATTGGAAACATTTTCTTCATTCTGTCGGAAGAGAAGGTGGGGCTGACTATAGATCGGATACGTTTCCATTGGTTCCCATTAGTGGCCACCAGATTGTTCACCAAAATAATGCAAATTGTATTTGTTTACTATTTTCTATAAATAATATGTTCATCTATTTGGATTATTGGGTGCTCAGGTTCTTTTAGACAATTTATAAAATATCATTTGAGTTAACATTGGATATGATGAACTGTAATATGATTATTAGAACTAAATGGTATAATAATTATATTAGATTAGACATGTAATCCAGAAGTCCTATTCTGTAATGTGAAAAGTAGTGATTATGTAATTCTGTACTCAATTTGATTAGACATTTATCAAAGCTTATTAATTCACATTTATCAAACTTCTTTGTATTTATGAGATTTATGTTAAATTAAATCAATGAATTAGTTGATATACTGTATTATAGCATACAATCATACAATGATAATCAATGACATACAATTAAAATATAATTAACCTATAAATTGGATAACCATTTAATGATTGCTTTTAACTTTACATCAAATGTAATAATATCAACCTTATAATTTAGTACAGTATTTAGCATTATTTATATAAATTTAATTAATATTTACAATAACTATTTGTTACAATATTACAATGTTAATAAGAGAGAACATTTTTCTTAATATTTAAAATACAATTTATTTATTAAAGAATTTCTCATTTTACAATTAAATTGTTACTATTTTACTACAATATATCACTTAAATAATATTATTATGTTAAACTCGTTTCTCAATTCCGACAATTAGTCTTTGAGGGGCCGTTAACCCGAAAGATCTTTTATACCGCAGAGGAATGTCTGTCCGAGTCGTTTGGAAAACTTTAAATTTCCTGATAATGTTAGCCAAAGCTAACTTGGCTTCGAGTAATGCAAACCTCATACCAATGCAATTGCGAGGGCCGGCACCGAAGGGTAAGTAAGTATAAGGTGTAATTTTATGTCTATTCTCAGGCATAAACCTATCAGGGTTAAACTG